TTTTGTCATGAAGAGCACGAGTGCAAATGTGATTAGTTTAGTAAAGAAGTTAATATTGTGCTATATTTTAAACACAATATAGTGTGTTTTTGTTCAATTTTGCCAACGAAAATATTACCTAAAAAGCCATAGCAGAATTGTTGTGCGTCTCCGAGCAACACAAGGGTGTTTAGGTTCTGAATGAATCCGCGTTTTGAACGAATCATGTGAACCAATGATTCAAAGGCCCATTCATAAAGAGAGCCATTTACTTAATTCCTGAATGAATCAGCCATATGAACGAATCGACTCAAAGACATTTAACGCCACCTGCTGGTAGTTCTAGTTTCTTGTTTAGAGTATAATTTAATTTTCATTATGAAATAAATTAATAAAAACATTAAAGAGATAGTTCACCAAAAATAAATAAAGAAATAAATTATATCATCATTTACTCACCCTCATGTTGTTTCAAACCTGAATGACTTAATTTCTTTTGCACAACATAAAAGAAGGTATTTTGAATACTGTTGGTATAAGCTGTTTTGGTCACTAGTGACCAAAGTTTCATTGCATGAACAAAAAATACTGAGACGTTTCTCAAATGATCTTCTTTTATGTTCCATACTTTATGTTAGGCCATTGTAGTCTAAACATTTAACACAATATATTTAAATTATCTTTTGGGGGTATTTTCACAGCCACATTTAGTTTGTGATTAATTAGATTAATTAATCGCAGCACCCTGTAATTAATTAGATTAAAAAATGTAATCGACTGACAGACTTAATATACATATATAATCGCACATTTTTGACAGCGCTATATATATATATATATATATATATATATATATGTTATATTTATAGTTATATTTAAAAGTAAAGCTAGATTTAAAACAAAAAATAATACAAATGTAAAAGCACTTAACAAAATTACTAACTCTTAAAAATAAACTGTATATAACTGTAATATAAAAATGAAAGCTAATTCAAAATATTAGTAAATACTGTAATATTATATAAGTAATACTAAAATAACCTTTACATGGTGGTTGATTTACCGTCTACTCAGTGGAGCCCTGAAGGTGCCAGATTGATCCTCTCATTGTACATTAACTTTTTGGCTTGCAGGTTCTTTATAAGGAAGTTTGCCTTTTATATTTGTTGCCTTTTCTTGCTATCTAAGCCATACGTTTGCGTAACATATGGAAGAAATCAGAAGTGTTTACACTGATGTCAAAGGAGAACAAATCAAATACCTTTCATACTGCACTTCACACTTCACTGCAAATAACATCAACTTTTGCATATTCCTCCCTGAAACTTGAGCTGTTGAATGCAAATTTGTCAAGCACTAAATGTGATTTTGTGTTTTGACAAACATTAAATGTTTTTTCCAAGTTTGTGTTCAATCAGGAAAAATGTTTAAATCTCATAAACTTAAAAAAAAAAAAAAAGACTACATACAGTGTAATAACTTCTATGGCTTTTTAGAAACCAAGATCCACATTTTTTTTTTTGTTTTTTTTTTGACAAAGTTAGGTTTAAAGTTGGCATTAAATTAAAATTCAGTCGATTTCATTATTGATCTCATTGTTATTGATCTTATTGTGGATGTTTCGTCCATACATGTTTCATGTTTGACCTTGTACTTCTTAGTCTTCCGGTGAAATTACTTCTTTCTGGTGATGTATACCAGACTTCTCCAATCTTTTAGTCAGTTTGAACCTGCACCTTTCTTGAATTCGACTGCAAGCTTGCATATAAATCTGCCTCCATCCACACTTTTTTACCCCTTTTTTATAATCAGTTTTGTTCAGATGTTTGTAACGAGGAAGAAATGATGTGCCGCTACTTTCATTTTATTTTTAGTAATAAAAATACCACTAGAAAAACATTGACAAAACACTGGTTTGTCAGTGCTAGTATTTTTTGTTAATAAATAAACCTCTCCCCAGTTGTTCCTGGGAAGATTCTTCCCACCACACATCTGCAGTTTTCCCAGCCACCACTGAACGTTCACCCTGACCTCTCATTTCCAGCGGCTGATGGAGAGAGAGGCCGGCGATGTGGCCTGTGATTTTTATGGAGTGATTTAACACTCGGCAGCCATGCTGGAAGCTTGTTAAGGGGGTGCTGGAGCTGCATTCGGGAATTGAGAGGCCTCTCTCACCTGCTGCTTTATTAGATGGATCAGTTTCAGGGGCCGTCCTGTTTGACAAAAGTGTGGCGGTTGTTAAAGTTCCTGCACTGCAGACGACTTGTGGTTTTGAGGGCTTGGAGAGATGATCAGTCAGGGTATCTCTCACTCACTTTTTCTTTCTCGGCACTCCTGGCTGGGATTCCCTGGAATGCCAATGAGAGGTCTGGAGTAAAGCCAGGCGGAACCAATGTAGAAGATGTCAACAATAGAGCTATGTTTAGAATGACCTTGTCTAACTTCTGTGGGATTGTAATGCAAACCAGAATCAGGCTGGTGCAGTGCTCCGAAAACAGTTGTCAATAAGAAAATCTAGACAGGCAAATTTTTATAAGTTCATTTTTTGTCACTTCTCTGTCTTAGAAAAAAAAAAAAAAAGTCTGACAAATTATACCTTATAATTAAATACCTTAAATTTTATAAGACCTTATGTTGTTCCTGTGTCTCAGTGGTAGAGCATTGCATTAGCAGCGCAAAAGGTTGTGGGTTCGATTCCCAGGGAACACACATACTGGTAAAAAAAATGTATAGCCTGAATGCACTGTAAGTCGCTTTGGATAAAAGTGTCTGCTAAATGCATAAATTATTATTATTAATTATTAATTATTATACCAAAAAAAAACGTTTTTTTTTTTTCTTGAAAGTTTTTGACCAATTATGTACATTTACATTTTGACAGAAACTTTTTATAGAAATCTTTTGTAAAATTATGAATGTATTTGCGGTCACTATTCAATTGAATTGCTAAATAAATAATATTGATTTCTTTCTAAAAATAAAATAAAATAAAATATATATGTATAGCCTATATGCTATACCTGGTTTATAGAAATGTTCACAGTCTTAGTTAGGACATTCACTTAAGTACTATAACTTGTTTAACTAGTCTGTCACCTGACTAACTCTTGGGTTGGGCTTGTTCAGATGCTTTGATATTTCACTTTAATCTTTGTATTTTCAATTGACATTTCCAGTACTGTTTCCAACTGTACAGAGATATATGTGAGTATGGAAATGTATATAACTGTACTTTATATTTAGTTGTTTTTAGGCAAGCATTTTTTTTTCAATTTTTCTTTTATGCATTTCTTATTATTGCTACACTCTAAACAATGCTGGGTTAAATATAACCCAGCGCTGGGTTAAAAAGGGACAAACCCAGCTATTGGGATGTTTTGACTCAGCGGTTGGGTTGTTTTGAACAAAAGGAAAAATAGAAAAAAAATGCTTGCCTAAAAACATGTAAAAAATGTTACAATTCTGTGAAATGTATTTAGAAGAAGATTTATTGGAAATTTAGCATTGACCGCAGCAATCATTTAATCGGCTAACCATTGATCTTCAAGCCACTGTATGTCCAGTAAACATTTAGCGTTTTATTGTCCCACTGAACACAAGAGTGTTTGCCTGGGACGTTTAATAACTGCTTATAAAAGCCACAGTCCTCAATACGCCTGTGCGAGACTATTAGTACTGGCAGCCTTTAGTGCTTAATACCTCATGAATATATGAATAATGAATGAATAGACAAACAAATCAATACAAAATTCAGTGTTGTTTGAAAGGATTTGGAGTAAGCTGAACCTAAGCTTCTGTAGACACTCAATGATTTCGATGAAAGATTGAATTTTAATGTCATTATTTACAGTCTAGCCAGGAATGTTCTTGTTTTTTTTGTTTGTTTTTTTCTCATAACTCTGTTATGTAAGTCACTAGAGTAACTCCTGTACAATATTAAACCTGTCCTTCGAGACCTAAATGATCTTACCATCTCAGCCCGATGCACTGGAAGGAATGTTTACAGCTTACAGACGCATCCTTACGTGTGTTAAGTGATTTTAAAAGAATCAATCAGGGACTTCCTGTTTTATTTCTTTTTCAAACAACCTATCACTCTTATACCAAACACTACTGGCTTCAGATGCCAGCGCGTTTCCCATGTGTTTACTCTCACTCTGTTTTAAATCATGTTATGCTCTGGAAAAAGGCATACTTCAGTTTGGCAACATCCAGTATATACTTCACACTATGCTGGATACTGTGTCTCTGTGGTTGGGTAAATGTGCGCCAGAATCTGTGATTTTTATTGTTGTTGTCAAGTTTTTCCCTGTTTACACCTGCTCGTGGTTGCAGCATTCCACAGAATTTCTGCTTCTGTTCTGCAAAACCCTACAGTTGACAGAAGAGATGATGTTTTCTTGCCATGGCTTGTTGTGGGCAGGGGGGGCCCTCCAAAACTGCTTCAAAGCCGTTTGCCTGGCTCAATAGTTGCTCCTATTGTTGGGCTATATCAAAGGCACAGTCTGCTTATTTGAACAGGTGACTCCCATTAAGTCCGATGACCTGGCTGGCTGTTTGCCAGCAGTGCTGCCGTGGAGCACTTCGCAGAGCTTGTCTAGTCGGGACTCTTAATACCTGATGATCTCAGTGCCAGGTCGCAGATTGAATAATTGCTGAGCTATGGGACTCTGTAGGTCTCCGGAGTAATTGTTATGGGAGAAGCTGGGGGCCGCTGCTCCCCGAACACTCGTGGAGGTCAGGATTTCATTTGTCCACTTCCTTTTGGCTTGTCCAACCTGGATGGCCTGCTTCACTTTTAATGAAAGCCGTCTACACTGCTGCCATCAGTATGCAGTGATGGCACATTATAGGTATTGGGTCTGAACTCATGATTATGGAAGAGATGATTTCTTCACATCTGCTGTAAGATGATATAAAAATTTTCCATGCGTTTTTCATGATGCAAACTTGGATGTGTGGAGTCCATTTGTTCATATCATAATGCCTCCCTCTAATGATTTTTTTCTTTCTTTCTTTAGCAAGGAACAGAGGGCTTCTGGAAGTCTGTAGCACACTCTGTGCCCCGGCAACCCTCAGAGATACGAATCCTGAACCCCTACTTCATACAAGAGGCTGCCTTCCAGTTTATTGGCCTTCCACAGAACAATGGCCGTATGGGTAAAGGGGTAAGCAACATGCTTGTTGAATTTTAGTATTTTCATAACATTGTTTACGTTAAGTTATTATGAAGTTACTTGAGTTGGTAACTCTTCGAGAAAAACTGTTCAACTGCCCGGTTTATTGAACCAAAATGTCAGGCAATGCCTTTAGTCAACCTTATGTTAATAGGGGTCACAGGAAGCCTTAGACACGTGTTTCCTCAATTAGTCTGTAATTACCATAAAGATCACCATAGGTCAAAGGTAGCTTGACTAATCCAATGGGTGGGGAGAGCTTATGGTGCGTATTTTGTATAAACCTGGACAAAGCTGTGTTTAAAAACTTGTTATCCAGTGCCTAACATGAAATTGATGTAAACAGTAATAAGTTCTCAAAATATTGCTGCTTGTGTAAGTTGATTTAAATAATAAAAAAAAAAAACTGCCAATATGAATAACAATGGTCACTAAACATAAGTTGTATTTTGCGTCATTGCTTAAATTTTCCAGACCACTTGTTGTGTTGTGGGGATGCTTTTATTTTATTTTATTTTACTAGATATAACTCACATGTACAGTACAATTGCTCAATCTATAGTGATCAGGATTGTTTGCCATTCAGAATTAAATCAAGAATGCCTTTTTAAATTCAGTTCAATTCCTGAATTTGAGTTTAATTTAAATTGATGTAGCAACTGGATGCAGAATTGCTATTTGAATTTAAAGTGCCCCTATTATGGATTTTTTTTAAATTACCTTTCATGCAGTGTGTAACACAGCTCTAAGTGAACGAAAACAAACTGCAAAATTTTTAAATCTGAAAGTGCACCGTGTATAAAGTTATTGTCTCTCAAAAGAAAGAGTCGACTCTGAATCATTGAAACGAGTCATTTTTAAAACGAATCTCAAGCCGTTTCATGTTGACTTCAAGGTGAAACAGTAGCATATTGCCTGCCCACTTGTTGGTCTTTTCCCGTTGGTCTGAATGAAAATGCAAATTCATTCTTTACCACTAGGTGCCGCTTTTGGAGCGGTAAAGTAGCGGTTTCCCCGGTAACGCTGTACACAAAGCAGCACTGCGCATTACAGGCATGATGAAATGAAAATGAGACCAATCGGACCAATCACTGCAGATTAGCGTCAGGCAAAGTAGGGGTTTGGAAAAATTAATCGTTGAGCGAATCGTTTGGGAGTCACTGAGCAAGTAAGGTAAAAATAAATGCATATTATAAGACAATGAAAGTGTTTTTGACCTTGCATGCATGTCATCCTGTTGTTGGGGACTCCCAAAACCAAAATATGAACCTTTCATTACCCATAATAGGGGCACTTTAAGAAGAATTCAAATGAATTGAAATTCTTAGAACTTTTCAATGCTTTATAAACGTTTAATACTAACAGATAATTTTTAAGATGCCACCTATAGAAATGTATTAGTTTATACATTTTCGTTTACATTTACATTTAGTCATTTAGCAGACGCTTTTATCCAAAGTGACTTACAAATGAGGACAATGGAAGCATTCAATTTCAACATATTTAATAAATGTAACGTGTAGAAATGTAGAAGAGCACTTCATTTCCCATTACCTGTGTTAAGTTTAATTGAATTTTAACTTTCCATCATTTAAATTCACACTCAAGAGTTTTTTTTTCTTTCATTGAAACTGATTCATTAGCAAATCTGTCTGATTTTAAAATAAAATAATAATAAAAATCATTATCCTGTAATCACAATCAACTGGAAGGTTCATGGAAATTCATTTGGTGGGAAAGCCTTGTATATTATTTGACATGCTAAATTCTACTATTAAAATGTGTCAGAAATATTGTAGCCACACTCGGAAACCCCCCACCCCATTTGCAAACACATTTTATTCAGACATGGGTGTTGGGTGTGCCATAGCCTATGGGCCAGACTGGGAATCAGCACTGTCATAAAAGAACTGTGTTGACATGCCTCAAACCTCAAACACAGGCTACAGCAAAGAGTACTCGTTTACTTGGAGCTCATAAACAACACGCTTTCTTTCAGTCTCAGGAAATTGAACTTGAGAAAGTAGATAAATGCCACTAGCATCATAGCTTGATGAAGCTCTCAGACATCCCATCATGGCATGAGTACAGACAAGGGTCTGTGTGGGAGCTTGGCCACCTCCTGAAAACTCAGACCTCCTCTGAATGGTGGAACATGTGCAGTGCATGTGGAGCAGTGCTCAGGCCCCTAAGGTTTGTGTGAGTAGGGGGGCAGCGCAGGAGGGAAGCTGTACCATACGGTACTGATCAAGGTGGGATACATTTTGACAGCCTCCTCCTTTGAGCACTCCAAACACCCACCTGCTTAAGGCTGCATACGCTGACACAATCTTGAATCAGACCCCAGGCCACTGTAAGCTAATGATTTAGAATGGTTGGCTCCTCCAGGGAGATGAGGAAGTGAAGGTCTGCCTCCTGAAATTGGTGCATCAAGGGTGGGGGTCTGTTTAAGCAAATTGTTAATCACACGCAGCTCAAGAGGAGTTAACAATTGCGGAGCAGAACTAAGCCAGAACGCCTTCAGGCACAATGCCATATCGACCTCGAGGAAGAGCTGGACCAGAGCAAACCACAGACAGCAATGTTAAATAGATTCAAATATAGCACAGGAAGCATACTTATTCATGCTTCATTTGTGGTTTTACTCATGCTGACATTAATGACACATTTAAGATCTTTCATTTTTACAGAATAATTTGTCACTCGATTGATTTTAATTGCATATTTAACATTTTGTCAAATATGTTTTGTATTATATATTATTATAAACCTAAAATGTGTTTAATGTCACTATTGATGAGGATTGTATGATCTTTAAATAATATTGGTCTTTAAATGCAAGATATTTCAAGTATACCTGCAATAGTACCACTTTAGCACAATCAGATATACTTCAGTATATCTTTAGTTGAAACTTCAGCACTACTTTTGCACAATTTGCACAAGTAAATGGATTTCAAATACATTTTAGTATATTTATTTTTCACTAGGGTGGTTATAAGCAACATGTATTAGTTTATTAGTGTATTACCACAGTTCTGTTTAGCGGTGCTAAATATACAATTGTGGTCAAAAGTTTTAACACACTATGAAGAATTTGCAAATATGTGGATAATTTAGGTAACAACAATACTCAGTTTTAAGAATCAAGTGCATGTAAACTTTTGTATGTGTGTGAGAGAGTGTGTGTGTGTGTGTGTGTGTGTGTGTGTGTGTGTGTGTCAGTGTGATTTATGTGTGAGTGTCTGTGTGAGTTATGTGTGTGTGTGTGTGTGTGTGTGTGTGTGTGTGTGTCTATGTGTGTTATGTGTGTGTGTCTGTGTGTGTCAAAAATATTTTTCTACGTTTTTATTTAAATATTGTCTTTTTTTTTTTTACATTATGACACTTTTGGTTAAAGCAAATACTGCATGTGTTTGTGATGAGATTCTATTATTGTATACACAGTCCATTCAATTTAGACTGCAAACTCACAACTTAAAATATTCAAATAATTTAATTTGCTGTAACGCTGTAGATTTGAATGTTAAATATAGTGCTTATGGCATGATAGCATTTTACGCACCATTAAACAAGCAATAAACTGCATTTTCTTGTCTGTTATCAGGTCTAACATATGATTTGCATCAGTATTTGGTCATTATGATTTACAAAACAAGCGCAAGATATTGTAGTGTGGTTTAGGGTAAGAGTCTGTGGATCAGTGCAGCTCAATCTTCACCAGAGAACAGCTTGCATGTTAAGAACCTGTTGGTAAAATGTTAAAATGCTGCTTTGTTTTATAATCTGACAATCTGATAGATGATAAACTTGTGCTTATTTCCATAGAACATTCCAACGTTGGGCACCGTCGCCATAACGATGGCCCTTCATAACTGCGATGAGGTTGCTGTTGCTGGATTTGGCTATGACATGAACACCCCTCATGCACCCTTGCACTACTACGAAACAGTCAAAATGTCTGCCATAAAAGAGGTAACAGTTCTATGTTTCTATAATTGGCAAATTAACTTCTAAAGTGAAACATGAAGAGCAGTTTTTTAGGAGTAGGTGTTTTAATGCATAGACAAAACATTTTGTACCGTACCTCAGCCTGTTGGTTTGTCCGTGTTTGTTTATCACTTTATGGAAAATTACAATGATGTCATTAACCAGAATGCCTTGGGCTACCTGCTACTTTATTTTTTTATTTTTTACCTCAGATCAGTCCATATGAAGATAACTTTGTTGTTGTGTTTTATAAATTCCTCTCTGCCCACATTTGCCATGGCTGTAAAAACACACTCATAAAACAGAGCTGTTAACGCATAGTTAGCTCCTGACTGCTCTGGCACCCATCCTTGTCAAATCACAGTCAGGTACCATTCATGCTGGACTCACTCACTTCCTGCGGCCTGTGTTCTGTCAGTTTAAGACTTCTGCACTATGTGATTTAGTCTTGAACAAATGGGATTTAAGCTGTTGGCCTTGTATAGTGAGTACTACTATAACAGTATAGGGTATTTGTCTTTCTAGGTTTTGACAGGTACTTTCTAGGTTCATCCTAGCTGTGATGTAAGGGATTCAGTCCAACTCTAGATTGACTTTATGGCTTTCAGTGGTAATGCCAGGATTAGAGTAATAGCTTGTTTCACCACCTTGTTGGGGAAAATGTAACATTTACATGAAAGTCCTTCAAAATCCTGTGAGAAAGACTCAAATTATTTAGACCTTTCTAATGTCTCTCTGAGTAGTTTATCAGCATTTTATACAAAATATATTATGAAAAATTATATACATTACCGTTCAAAAGTTTGGGGTCAGTATTTTTTTAATGAAAATAAATAATTTTATTCAGCAAAGATGCATTAAATTGCACAACTAATGTTACAAGAGATTCCATTTTCAAGTAAATGTTCTTTTGTACTTTCTATTCATCAAAGAATCCTGAAAAATATAAGTTTCTGCAAAAATACTTACATTTTAAAATATGTTAAAATAGAAAACATTTTTATATATTGTAATAGTAATTGTCATAATAAAAGTAATTCACAATAATATGTAATAGTAATAATAAAATGGAATGGTAATTCACAATGTTACCATTTTTACTGTATTTTTGATAAAATAAATGTATCCTTGATTAGAGACTTCTTTCAAAAATATTAAAACATCTTATGGATCCCAAATGCAGAGAGCTATTTCTCTAACTATAGAGGCATAAGGAAGAGATTGTTTCAGACCCTCTCTCCCTATATAAGGCAGTTTGGCCTAAGGAGGCTCTTAACCCAGCATTCATTTTGGCCTGTGCCCTTTTCTCTCTTCTGGAGAGTGAAACTTTACTCTTGGATCTGCTGGGTTTTTCGTGAATGTGATCCTTCACAAGGGCTGACCAGGCTGAAGCAGACAGCCCCGAGACTCTGACGAGATGCTTTTGGCTTAGTATCACGGCCCCAGCAGGCCCAGAACATCCTGTCAGGGCCAGTTGTGGGGTCCACCCATTCGGACCGAGAGCCTCTCACAGGAACCCAAAGCTCTGGTTTCATCCAGCAATACCAGTCCTGTAGGTCCTCTGCTGTGGCGTTCTGTTTCTGAAAATTATGTTGAAGAACAATAGGATATTAAAAGAAAACTGGAGAGGATGGTTTTCACAGGAGTCAATACAGCTCCAGTTCTTTGATCCCAGAACACACTCAATCCCTGTCCTGTGACTCAGGGATCTGTTATTGTTGTAATAAAAGACTCTAGTAGATGTGAGGTGCTGTGGATTTAAGAATTAATGTAGCTTTTTTATCATGGTAGATACTGACCTCCACTAAACCACAAATAAAATGAAATAAGTACTGACCATTTTCGAATGGAAGATTTAAATGCAACTTTACAGCAATTGTCCATAGATAAAATGTCTACAGGGCACCAGTAATGGTGACACAATACACCCTGAGCATTATTTTTTTCCAAATCTTTAATCCACAACTCAAAAAAAATTCTCAAGATGTATTTACACTATCCATCACCCTTAGCAGGGTAAAGGGTTTTAGGTCATTGTTGTGTGGTTTTCTAAATAAAAGTTCCTGTTTAACACTGTTTATCCCTGTAAAGCTGCTTTGACGCAATCTGTATTGTATAAAGCGCTATATAAATGAAGGTGACTTGACTTGACTTAAAGAGTTTACAGTATTATAGAAACAGTTCAGTTACGTACATCAGCTATAGTCACTTTCAAATTGGGCTTTTGTTTTGTCACCTGATCCACAGTCTCTGTCATTTTCACCACGTTCTAGCATTATAATAGAAAAAAGGCAAAAGAATGTCACAGTTTGTACCAGACCATATAAGTATTAATATCCAATTAATTATACCACTTTATGAGCACATTCAACACACTATTTTACATTTTGGCAAATTAGTGGCTTATGTATACCTCGTAGCTTGTTTGCATTCATGTGATTCTGATGACGCGCGAAATTCAGATGGAGGGCAGGAAGTGAAAAGCAGAAAGGATGAGATGAAGGAAAATCCGTACTGTACTGCATAACATAGGCATTTTTAATTTCTGCCAGCGATTCCACGATAGAAAAATGACTTCCTGCTCTCCAGCTGCATTTTGCACCACAGCAATGACGTCATGTGCAAACAAATTATTTGTACCTTTTCATGCAATCTGTTGATGAAAGATGATAAAAGATCAGTTATGTCTGTCAGGCTGATGATACACTGGGCAACATTTTGAGCAATGTTGGTTTGAGCAACTTTGGTTAATTTTGCCGTCAACGGGCAACCAGGTGAGACCCAGGTCCCATAACCGATCTAAAGTATCCAGATAGGAATTTGTTACCCATTCTCAGTGGGAAAGTGCCCAAGAAACATTGCTCAAAAAAAGTTGATCAGCAAAACTGCTCCAAAAGTTGCAAAAGGGTCTAGCTGCAGCCTTGCACTTGCATTCTCAGACTTGCGAGCATGTTGAGTTTGGCCTTTTTAGTCCATTATGCCACATTATGCCACGTTTTGCGGTATGGGAGGAAAATACTATATACATATTCATTATATTAATAAATTGTATATTTAATTTGATATTTTAATAGCATCTTAATACATTAAGCCATGTTAAGTGTTTATGTTTTTCTACAGGAGGAAAACGCTTAACGAGAGACTTTGTGCATTGCGTTCATATTCTGCTGTTCTGTGGCCACAGATTTGCGGGTCTTTTTTTTTTCTTGCAGGACCTTGTATGTTATAGTACTAAATTAGTTTTAATCGTTTAATCACCACAGTGTCTTGTCTCCATTGGCAACACGCACGATTTGTGTCGATTGCAAGTGACGTCGCAGGTAGCGGAGAGTGCAAGTGGCGATTGCAAGTGACATTGTAATTTACTTTTTTCTTGTCTTCACCACCTGGCTACTGTTGTAAAATGTTGAGAGATTCAAACAAAAAGTAATAAAAAATAGAACAAAATAAAAAATAAAGCCTGCAAGTGACATCACTAGCGGAAGCGCAAGTGTCTGAGAATGCAAGTCTGAGAGTGCAAGTGCGAGGCTGCAGCCAGACCCTTCTCAAAAGTTTCCCCGTGTATCATCAGCCTGAGTCTCACTGGTTATACATTCCATCCGTAGTACACAGTTGCAAATATGCAAAGATTAATAACGTGAATACTGAACTATCACTTGCACAATCTATTACCTAAAATGCCCCTGCATATCTTAATGGATGCTGCTTGTCCAATTTTCACCAATTTTAAGGCTAATAGGCAAAAGTCTCTGCTTCCAAGACTAACATTCTTGGTCTAATGAGAATAAAAGGGCAGACTGTCATGTTGAGAGAGTCTGCGCTGTAAATGTACGAAAGTTGGCCACATTCAGTAAGAAATGACAGTCTTCTCTTTATGTCTCCCCCACAGTCATGGACTCACAACATCTCAAAAGAAAAGGAGTTTCTCCGCAAGTTGGTGAAGGCCAACATTATCACAGACTTAACCAATGGGATTTGAACCTCCCAAGGTGGGTGCCTTTCTAGGAGGACTCAAAAACGTAGAGTCCTGGGAAACCCTGGACCAGACAACACGGAGGAGCGAGATTTCAGAGGTGGAAGTGATGGCTCAGTTAAGATGCACATGTGCCTTCTAACCGACAGGCTTCCTCTGAGCGGGACGTTGAAGGTTTCTTGAATGTCTCAGGAGACAATCCTCGTTCAAGTATAGATGGAAGATATCAGAGACTTTGAGGTGACCAACACACACAGCGCTTGAGGAACGAGTCGCAACATTAACTGATTGTGCCAAATGTACCTCTTTTGGAGGAGATGCCTCTTCTCTCCTGCCTGAATGTATTAACGGTGTAAATATCAAAGATTTTTACGTTGCATTTTAATGAACTGCTACAGCCCCTGGGGTTCTGCCTTCACACGTGATTCTCCGTCCAGGGCAATCAGTGCATATCCTGCCCTAGTGTGAGGAAGGGCAGAGGCAGGTCTTTGATTCAGCCCTTCTTCTGAGCACAGGAGGCTGTTTATCTCCTGAATGTGAGCTTATTATGTTACAGCTTCTTTTGTCGAAGAAAGGAGCTCAATCTCGAAGTTATTTATTTTGGTGCACAGATGAAGGCCTTTGTTTTTTTGGAAAGCTCTCTTTCCAAAATTGATTATTAAAGGTGGGGTAAGCGATTTTTCAAAAACGCTTTAGAAAACTGATTCGGGTCGAATAGCAAAACAAACTTGTAGCCAATCAGCAGTAAGGGGCGTGTCTACTCATGATGTGGAGGAGAGTTCAGTGCACAGGACAGACATTAGCCGAGCCGAGCGACAGAAAGATAGAGATGGCGGATAAAAAA